AACCCTAACCCAAGTGTTTTAGATATATTTATACTGTATATACACACCATGGCCAAGACTCCATACAGATCTATATACATATTCAGCAAGATATGTATATCTTGTATATATATATGTGCAAGATACTTTACTCCACATTGCATGCAATGAAGACAATATTTACATCCTCTTCTTGAGCTATTTTAAGTTATAGTGAGCATCTGAGAGTGAAATCTTGGAGACAGAAAGCTGGCTCAGTTCTGTGGTATATGGGAGTCATGTGTGAGGTCATTTATCAGGAGCTCAGATTTATGGAAACACTGTCCTGCTTTCCCACAGAATCCACATTCCTGTGTGGCTCGCAAGCATTGATCTTCTCACAGGAACATCTGGAAGTTTTGCTTCTGCACAGATACCTGTATTTGCAACATTCAGTATTTCGAATTAACTTTTAATGAGAGTAAATTAATATTTAATGAGATAATTGAACACTCAATTAATTGCTTGTGTTTTTCAGTTGGAGGCCATATTTGTTCAGATTAGATAACTTAGATTAGAACTTTCTTGTTTAAAATTAGAACCTTATTGAAAATAAAAGTTATTTATTCGCATCTATGGTTCCACAAAGAATCCATAACAATGGATTTAATTTCCACAGAACTTTTTCATTGCACAAAATGTTCTTTCTAGTGGACAAAGTTTCTTTAGAATATTAAGGTGTTCTTTACACTAAGAAAAAAAAAAGGTTCTTTTAAGAACTTTTCACTGAAACTTATTTTGGGGAAATAGTTATTTTATGTCATTGCTGCAAAAACCTCCTTTTGGAAGCTTTAATTTGAAGTGTACGAGTTGGTTTTAAATCAGAGTATAGCATCCCCAATTAGCTCGTGTGCTCATTTGCTCATAATAATGTTGTTATCTTGAAGTTAATGACATTATTCACCTTAAAATTACATGAATGTTACTGACTGACAGTGTTTTTGTGATTTACATCTTATAATATATCTTGAGCTAACCCAGACCATCACATTCCATAAAAGCTAATGGGTGCCCCGCTGCTTTACAGCTTGTTAAATCACACTTTGATGTTTTTCTCCTTGTTTCTTGCAGTGATTAAATAGCCGCTCCTAGTAAACATCTGACCTCCGCTAATTCAAAGACGCAGCCGAGTGGGTAAATGTTCTCAGGGGGAGTGATTGCTACAAGCATGTAGGCTACTCAAATTAAAAAATCTGCCTTGGTGTGAATTGATTTTCAAAAGTGGTATTGGTGTAACAAACACCTTACAGAAAGGAAATTACTGGAATATGTTTCTAGGCTGGAGGGCTTTTGCAATCAGTACTGAAGTAGACCTGTAAAAGATGTGATTTTTTTTAAATAATTAGAGTTGTTTCCAAAGGGGAAATCTGCTAGTATGCCTTTAGGAAAATGATTAGTGTATTTATTAATATATATATATATATATATATATATATATATGAATTGATGTCTTTTTGGGTGGATCCTAGTATTACTCA